GTGTTAAATAACATGGTTGGTCCCCAGGTTGTACTACACACCGGAAGTTCGATCGAACGCAAACTATCAAACGCAAGGCACATGACCTTCTCTAATGTATTAATATCAGGTATCCCATCCCATGCAGCAACAATATGGTGTACCACCAACAGGCCGCACCTCATAGGCAGAACTTCCCAGCGCCACCGCGCCCACAGGCTCAACAACCCGAACCGAAACGGAAATCGATCCGTCTATTAGGTCAAAACATAAAAATTATATGAACAAACCTCAGAATAATGATCTAGCAGGAAAACGACCACCTGCCGCTGCCTACACTGGACCCCCTCAGAAATTCCAAAGGCAATTTAACATTGCCACCGGCAATATGGAGCCGACGGCAATAGGGAGTTGCAGAACTACCTATTTAATATCAAGAGGACAATGAGAAAGGATTCATGCCCGTATCGGCAGATGCCTCAGACGTTTATTTTTTAGATTAAAAAGTTCCTCGTTGCCATACTATCAGTGCAAAGTGGGAAATGGCATGACACTTCGAATCCAATGAAAACTATATTCAGTCCGATTTAGTTCAGATCCCCAAACCCAGCGAACAACCCTTCTTCGCCAATTCCGTTGGTGGGTAAACGATAGTTACCCAGCATACTCGTCTTAAACTTCTTGGTTTCCTATTAAATTCTTCCTTTTCCCAACACTCAAAACTTTCCATGGCATTCTGGGTAATGATATCTTAAACCAGCAGAACGCTGTCATAGACGTACGGCACGAAATACTAATAATAAATGGAAATTACAGAATTAACATAAAGGAACTAAAGACACAGGCCGTTAACAATATAAGAATTAGAACAGATCACATGTCAAAAACTCGGAAGCAATAAATCGATCAACTGACGGAAGCCCACGTGGAGGTATTCGCTCCCTGTAACTTACATTTACTACCAAGGTACAGGGTAAAATAAGAACTACGTCGAATCATTAAAAGCACAAATAGAAAAATAGATACAAAATTTTTGCTGAGAGACGGCATTATCAGACCTTCACGGTCACCACACAATGGTGGTACCAAAAAAGATTGATGGGGGAAAAGACTGGCCTTCGGTCTATAGAACTCCCCTTCCATACTTCAAAGAGCTCTAGATGACATTTTAAGGGATCACGCAGGTAAACATCTGAAAATGATATAAACAACCTTGCCAACCAACCTTGAAATCAACGGAAGTTGCTTTCTGAGGCTTCACTATTTCAAACAAGTAAGAGGTTCTACTCGGGGGGTCCCGAATAGGGAATACCCTGAACCCTCTTATTCCAGCGCCAAAATGCAGTTCGCGCAACGCGCTCGTTTGAAGTAATAAAGATAAATTATAAAAATAAAGTTACCTTGGCAGGGTTCGAACTCGCAACTAACCGTATTACTTGCTGACGACTCTACTCAACAGACAAACCAGCAAAAAGAAAAACAAGTAAGAGGTTCTAGTCGGGAGCTCCCGACTAGGGAATACCCTGAACCCTCTTATTCTAAAACTTAATAAATTAAAAAAAAAAATCCCTTGCAGGGTTCAAACTCGCAACTGACCGCATTACTTGCTGTCGACTCTACTCAACAACCACACCAGCAAAAAAACAAAATAAAAATATTTTCCCCGGTAGGGCTCGAACACGCGACAGACCGCACCACTTGCTATGCCTCTACTCAGCAGCCACACCAATAATTAAGTATTTAAGTACTTAAAAGGAACTAAAATAGCATTACAGAAAAAAGGTGTAATTAGCATGCTGTTAGAACGCGAAGCAGACGCGCATGTGTACATGTATACAGAAATTCTTAAAGCTGCTGCCCCATCCAATTGCGCAGTTTCATATAACTTTGGTTTTTCTTAACCGATCTTTATGAAAATTTCTACAGTATATCTTATTGTACCATAGAATATTTGTGTATTCTTAAAAAGTCAATTGCATTTAAATTGTGGCTTAAATTGGTTGGCAACAAAAGTTGGGTTATTAACTTGATTTATAGATCTGGTGTGGTAGCGGGGAGGTGGCGATAGGTGTAAATTAAAGAAGCAACATATCATGTTAGGTGACTCTATATCGATTTTTATCGATTGCTTGGAAACGGAGTAAGTTATCGATTATCGGAAACAAACTCGATCTGCGCAGGCACTAGGAGCACCTACATCTACATTTCAAGTCTCTAGCTCTTATAGGAGCTGAGATCCTTGCGTTCATACATACGGACGGTCGCAAGGATCTCAGAACCTATAAGAGCTAAAGACCTGATATGTAGGTCCTCCTAGTGCCTGCGCAGATCGAGTTTGTCTATGATAATCGATAACTTACTCCGTTTCCAAGCAATCGATAAAAATAGACATGGACATCCTGTTTTTTTTTTTAGCAATTTTGGTAAATATTAAGAGCTAGAGTCACCAAACTTGATATGTTGCTTATAGAGTATTATATATATATATCAAGTATCTTTCATTTTATACCTATCGCCGCCTCCCCGCTATAACCTCATAGCTATAATTCAAGTTAATAACCCAACTTGTATTGCCAACCAATTTAAGCCACAATTTAAATGCAATTGACTTTTTAAGAATACACAAATATTATATGGTACAATAAGATATACTGTAGAAAATTTCATTAAGTTCGGTTATGAACAAATCAAAGTTGGATGGCACAGCTAGCGAAAACATCAAGAATTTGTGTATAAATGTACACACACACATTCGTGCGCGTCTGCTTCAGCTAAGTTGTTTTTTTTCTCGATAATACTTAATTATTGGTGCGGCTGTTAAGTAAAGGCATAGCAAGTGTTGCGGTCTGTCGCGAGTTCGAGTCCTACATGGGAAACTATTTTTTTTTTTTTTTGCTGGCTTGTCTGTGAGTAGAGTCGTTAGCAAGTAATACGTTGTATACAAGTATTAGTTGCGAGTTCGAACCCTGCCAATGGAACTTTTTTTTTTTTAATTTGGCGTTGGAATAAGAGGTTTCAGGGTATTCCCTAGTCGGGAGCTCCCGACTAGAACCTCTTGCTTGTTTTTTATTAACTTGTTCTTATTTGTACTATTTTTTATCCGGGCCAAAGTAATTGTACAGTCATACTTTGTTATTGACTCAATTATTATTTTCATTATTTTGCTTACAGATACGCTGCGCATAGTTCTAATTTCGGTATGGTTTTTCTATTTTATATTAAGCTTACCTTACTCTTGCTGGCTATTATCGTGACTGAATTACATACTTTTTCATATACCACTGCTGCGTATGCTTTCTCTGATACATCCGCGAATCCATGAAGCTGTATTTTCCTTACTATTTTATACATGTTCTATAATCACTGGTTAATTTACAATCCATATTCTCAAATTAAAACAATCCGCTAGCTTCAAAGAAATATCTTTTGTTTTCTGATATTGTTGAGGTACTAATGTTTTTTAGCAACTGCTTAGAACCTAAGCCAAGAAATAAGTACATTTTTGACCTTTCACAACAACACGTTATAATTCAGTCTATTCGGCGAATGTATACAAATTGCAAGGTTATTTGGCTGTGGCTCTTCGCTTTGCCTCAATCAACAACGAACGACTGCACAAGATAAAAAGAATTATGTAATTTTATAGAAGCTGCGACAAGTGCAAGAGAGGCTTGCGGACTTTTTTTATAATAAACAGCTGTTTCACTAGACTAAGATTACGACCTCTTCTCTTGTTTACATGAGTGTTTGCTTATGCTGATTTGATGCGGCTGCTGCAGAATCCAACAGATATGTTTCCCCAATGATTTAATTTTTACATTTGCTATTTCAACCAGCACTCTTGTTGCTAAGTATAGGGTTGACGCGGTACCGTATGTAACCGTTGTGAGCTTGTAGATTTAATCTGTTTATTTGGTGTCTCTCTCCACAGAATATACAAGTATGGTTGATCCTTTATATCAACATTAATCTGCCCATACATATTTTCTATCTGCATAGATGGCAAACTGCCACTACTTTTAATACGACGTCGAAAATATCTTTTTGGACCAGAAACCAGAGGTCCCACCCACATTATATCATTCAAACTTTTGTTGTTCGTGGTTTTTGCGGAAGCATCGATAACTACTGGTTGTGAAACTGGAGTCTCTTAACACTGTTAGTTTCTGCATCTTTTTTATCCTCAACTTCTATCTCCCGAAATGTCTCCAATTCGATAACCTCAATGGTTAACGCGACTATGTTTTCCTCTCCTTTGGATTTCGTGCACCCAGACTCTATCCACCCGAATTCTGTGTTCTCTCCGAGAAGCCCGTCGATTTTTGCTCCATTTTTAAAATGTATGTATAGAGGTCGGTTCCGACATCTATATCTACTCTACCTGCTTTTAAAAATTGCGGATCAATTATAGCATGTGTATTTATTTTTACTTATCAATATTCATTGATACTCCACTAATTCTTGTGCTCGCCCTCCATCTAGGTAATTTTAGTATCTGGGCTGCCTTCTCAGGTATGATTGTAGTTAGTTAGATAATGGGTCGCACATTATCAATTAATGCCCGCAATTTTTCGTGCCTTGCCTTTCAGCCACGCATGTGTTCACTATTTCTCTTCTTCCAAAGTGAAGCATTGTGTGGTGGGATTTTTTGCATTTTGCACATAACATTTCAATATTGCACCTCTTGGTACTTGAATGTTTTAAGCAGCTTTGTTACGGAACTGCGTGTTTCTCGATGGGCCGTGCCGGCTGGCTCATCGGTTTCTCTGGGTGTAGTCCCATCCCTGGCAGTCCGCAGTCCGCACAATCGATAACAACAAAGCTACACGTCTGTAGCAAAACAGACTTACACAGCACTATGCAAAGCGAGCCACAAATCGATAACGTCAAACAATCGGAACTTCTAACTCATGAACAAAATAAACAGCTGTAATTACTATGAAAATGTAAACAACAAAGGTGAGACATTCAATATAAATTAACAAAAAACACTATTTATCCACCTTACTCTTCCAGATCGGGCCCGGTTCCGGACCCAGCGTACCCGCCCAACCTTGAGACGATCACCTACACTCGTCTCCCTTATTTTGTCCATTAGATGGCCATCAGCCTGTGCCGGCTGTTATGCCAACTTATCCCAACGAAGAAAATTTAGCCGGATATTTCTCTCATCAGATACGGTATTATAATCATCGCTTATGTCATTTGTTTTTGCAGCTATTTAGAATCTCATGCACGTGGATATTTGGTTAACTTCACAGGTGCGTATAATGGTTGGTGTATTCTTATAATTATGGGCATTAATATTTATTTTATTTCTTTCTAATTTGCACGAGGTCTCCATTCAGATGGATTAGTATTCAGGCACGTGAACATTTCTTCCCCGGGTGCGTATTAACGTTGCATATATTTATACTTATGGACAAAGGGTATTCATTCCTAAATTTTTCTCTTATCTTGCAGAATTCATTTTTTTTATTTTAACAGCACTATATGAAACAGGCGACGAATTACTACAAAGATATTGATAGTCGCCGCAAAAGAAACACGCACGGAGGCAATTTAGAGGCAATCGTTGCGCCAATTTAGGAACAATGTGCCCACACAACTACGTAAAACGGGGTATGTCACGATAATCAGTCGTGCAACAGGTAGGTGATATAAATCTGTATTAAATCGCTTAATTCTACCTTACCGTACCTAAAGAGCTCCCTGGGGGTGGTAAGGGGATATATATGGATAATTCCAATTAGGTAAGTATGTGAGCATATTTCGCGCAAGTGTTAATTTCACATTTTCATATTTTACAGGCGCAGATGCATCACCTTTGGAGTTCCCCTCACCGTTCGCACTCTAAAGTGAAGCTCGTCGTAAGTACCTATGTATGTATAGATATAATTTATAAAAACAAAAAAAACTAAATTTAACGACAACAAAATCTGCTCTTTTTCAGGAGTACGGTCAGGAGTCTCCATCATTTCTCTGCCAAGGGCTCGAACGAGGATGGGCAAAATGGAACGGGCTCACTCGGAGGATGTGGGCGTGGTCTCGCCTGTGGCCGCTTCTTCGTTGTTGGCGTCCGGTCGTTGGTGTATGTTTCGTGGGCTTCTCTGGTGCGGGAGCTGGTCCCTCTGTTGCCGGAGCCGTTAATTTTTATTTCTTTTTCTCCTTTTTTTTTTTTGGTTCATCTCGGCGCACTTAAGTTTTAAGTTTTTTCTTTTGCAATACGTTAGCACATAAGGATTAAGCAATTACTAATAAAGAAAGCCCGTCATGAACAAATGTATGGCTTTGATTTTTTCTTTTAGGTTAAGCACATGCTCCGTGGTCGGCAAAATAAAATATCCAACCTCCGCTGACAAAGTCGAACTCACTTTACATTTGGGCAGCAACATCATCGGTGCCGAATTTCGGCACACGCATACATTGGCGAGGGGGCACCGTTGCTGCACATCTGCACAGCTGCATTTTTTTGGGTCAATGGCCCAAATGACGGCCAAGGGCATATCGAAGGGCATGCGATCCACAGTCCTCATATTCTTTTTAAGAGAGAACCGGGCGGCCAATAGCAATCGTCGCTTTTGGCGCCGTGGATCGCAAGTCTGGCGTTGCCACCCTTCAAAAATTTGGGCTCCGCCGTGGACGCAGCTTCACCCCGCATACTCTGACCATATGACGAAAAGATATCGGCGTGGCCGATAATATCGCACGCAACCAACTAAGTAAACCCTCGGTGCTGCCGATAACGTCAAATGCAACATCACCAAGCAGATTATTGTAACGACATGAATGACCGTTACAAGGAATCTGTGTGCGCATTTCATGGATTGACCCAGCCGGCTAATAACGATGCCCAACGTAGGCCACACCCACGACAAGTAATCTATATATTCGCACTGACCCAAAAGAAAAAAAGGGAGGACGGGCGCTGCCGCCGCCATTGCCTAGCAGGGAAGTGAGCAAATTACGATTATGTTCGTATATCTTTTGCGTGGAAGACGCCTAGCACGCGTCCCTGGAGATCTTCTAACTCGTAGGCGTTGGTGCCCACGGCTCGGACGACTCGGCTCTTCAAGAATTTTCGGGCGAACTTGGCATTGAAGGTTTTGCCGAAGCCGCTTAGTGCGAAGTTGCGCCTCCACACTTCCTGTCCCGGTTCCAGATGGAGTTGGCGCGCGCGGTGGTCGTATTTTTGGCGACTTCGCTCGTATGCGGTGTGCAGGTGGTCCTTGAATTGGCTTCGGATTACAGCCAGTCTGTCCTTCGCGTCAAGGTCAGAAATACTGTGATCGGCCAATGATCTCAGCTTTCTGGCCAGTTCGTTACTGGAACCATTCAGGTACATCTGCTGTCCAAAGACCGCGAAGAACGGAGCCACTCCCGTAGCGCTGTGGACAGCATTCCGGATCGCCACTTCCACCTCTGGTACGCGTCCCAATCCCGATGATCCTGACCCAGGTAGGGTTTGATTGCAGACAGCACTGTGCGGTTCACGCGTTCGGCGGCGTTGCCCCGAGGCGAATACACTGGTGTGCGCAGTTGAGTAATGCCAAACGCCTGGACCATCGCATCGAAGACTTTGACATGAATTGTCGTCCATTATCCGAATGGATCACTTCCGGCACGTCGAATTTGAAGAACACCTCATGCACTAGGAAGTTCGCGACATCCGCCGCGGTGGCTTCCCTCATGGCCTTCAGGAAGGTAAATTTCGAGAAGTGGTCTACGACGACGAATATCCACGCATGCCCTCGTTTCGACCGTGGATACTGCCCCAAGAACTCGATATATAGCTTCTGGAAGGGGCGGTCGGTGCGCACTTCTTCCCCAATTCCGACCTGCATCTGTTAGTTTTGTGCCTTGGTCTCCTTGCATGTATCGCATTTCCGTACATAGTCCCTGACTTTTATGGCCATGTTGGGCCAATAATATTGCCTGTGCAGCGCGTGCAGCGTTTTCCTCATGCCTCCATGAATTGAAGTCTCGTCCGCGTGTGCTTGTTGGATAAGTCCTGCAGTCAGCGACTCCGGCACCCAAAGCTTTCAATTTATGCCCTCGACCTCATCCTCCAAGCTCTCGTTCACGGTCCTCTTGAACAGAAATCCTTCCTGCACTCTAAGATCCGGCAACTTCCCTTGTTGGTTCATCAAATCTTTTATCAGCCCTCGATATTCGATGCTCCCGAACTCCGTTGTCTGAAATCCCAACAGATCCTCTGGGGTCAGTTCGACCTCTTCCACGCTTCGGGACAACGTGTCTGCGACGACGTTGTCGGCTCCCTTGCGGTACTGCATGGAGAAAGGGAACGCTTGCAGTTCTAGGGACCACCGGGCTTATCTCCCGCTCAAGTCTTTGAGACTCATAAGCCACTGCAGGCTCGCGTGATTACCGCGAACGGCATCATCTCCACGTACGGTCGGAATCGATGTATGGCCAGTTTGACGGCTAGGCCGGTGCTTGTTGAGTTTGGTCGAGAAGAATGCGATCGGCCTTTCCTGTTGCTCGTCGTCTAGCTGGAACAACACCGCTCCTATTCCGTAGTGAGATGCGTCGCATTGGATGAAGAATGGTGTTCGAAAATTCGCGTAAACTTACACCGGGGCTGTGGTGAGGGCTAACTTCAAGCTTTCTATGGCATTCATGTCCTCGTCACTCAACACAAATCTACCCGTTCTCTTCTTAAGGGCATCAGTCAACGGTACCAAGATCTCGGCGAAGTTCTTTATGAATCGTCGATACCACCCCGTTGTACCTAAGAACCTTCGTACTTCCTTGACCATCCTCGGATTCGGGATGTTCCGGATCTCTTCTACTCTTCCCGGATCCATGCGCAGCGTCCCGCCGCCTATGATGAAACCCAGGAAGTTTAGGTTGCGGAAGCAGGTGACACAGACACTCTGCCACCCATTCCAAGTATTTTAGGTGCGTTGGAAAATCTGCCGATATTATCAGCAAATCGTCTAGGTATACGAACACGTTGGACCTCAGATTCGCCCGGGATTACTTTGTCCATGAGCCTGCAAAGTTGTTGAGCGGCGTTGCAGAGCCCAAATGGCAAGTGGCAGAACTGGTACAGCGGCCTCCCTGGTACGGTAAACGCCGTATACGCCCTGCTCTTCTCCTCCATCTCGATCTGCCAGAACGCGACGCTAGAGATAAAATGAGTCTCGTCGATTCGCGATAGGATGCCCTCGATGCATGGAAGTGGGTAAGCGTCCTTTACCGTCACCCTGTTTAGTTTCCTGACCTCTAAGCAAAACCTGTTCTTCCCAGGCCTCATCACCACCGTCGTCCGGTTGCTCCAGGGGCTGTCACTCTCCTCGATGATGCCTGACTTTAGCATTTTATCCACCTCGGCCCACACGATCTTCTGTTTGGCCGGAGGCAGCGGATAATGTGTGTCCTTCACGGGTTCTGCTCCCTCGATCAGCTGAATTCGGGGCTGCAGCAGGTGAGTTTTCCCTAGGCCATCCTTCGCAATTTGGAGAAATCTGCGCTTCACGCTTTCCAACTGACTCTTTTGATCGCTGTCCAGGTCCGACATTTCCGAATTCGCCGCGCAGTCGTCGTCGTCCCGGTAATATGCCACCTCAGGGTTCGCTACCGTTACCTCAGATGCCTCTGGTGGTGTTCCTGGCTTTCTGGGCGGACCGAGCAGCTCTGGTACAATCTCGAAGACCCGCCAGAAGTCGATCTCCAGGTATAGTTCCTGTCGCAGGTCCGGGCATATGTAAAATAAGATATCTTCCTTTCTATTCTCGTATTTCACAGGCAGAACCACGCGACCCAAAATTGGGCGATTGGCACCCGCCGCTGTCCTTACCATCGATTCGTATGGCCGCGCTTCCCATCCCAGTTCCTCCACTAACTTCCGGCATCCTCGTCCCAACAGACTGACTGAGGCCCCCGTGTCCTGCAACCCTTTCATCTTGGCCCCGGCGACTTCCACTTCGGCGAATACGCGTGGGTCTATACAATCCTCCCGTCTCACCGCTTCGCCGACCTGGCGCCGGGTAATCCTGCGTCTGCGGAAGCGCGCACTTGCCTTCACCACGTGCCTTCACCACTCTCCGGCTAGCTAGTGTCATCCCTTCCAGCTGTCGCTCACCAAAAATTATATTTCGGGCCGACATGTATGCCCGAACACGTTCTTCATACGGTAAGCCCCTAAGTGTTCCTCCTTTGCTTATATAATTATTATAATACGCCTTATCCTGATCCTTATTCCAACTCTCCGTCTCCTTTTCCATGATTATTGGCTTTTGTAGGTACCCCTCTCCCGCTTTCCCGCGGTCGCCGTCCCGGAACGCGTCTGCCCCGCCATCACCGAGCTCCCTCTGGGGTTTCCCGGACAGTTTTCGCACTGGGAGCAGAAAGTGTCCGGCTTTCCACACCTATAGCAGAATATTTTCCGCTCCTTGGACAGGCAGTCACTAAAGACGTGATCGAACTGTCTGCAGTTCCTCCAGTTCTCCCGGCGGCGTTTCTGTACGATGTAGTGGTACTTCAACCTCGTGGACTACGGGCCTCGTTCCTTGTGGACAACGCGACGGCTGCAGGTACCCCGTTCGGCATCTGCGACCCATGTGCCTCTCCACTTCTAGGCACTCTTGGCGCAGCTCATCCACAGTGAGTACGTCCATGGCATATATATATTTCGCCAGACTTTCTTTCAAGCCACGATTTATAATCTTCACCAGCTCGCGGTGTCTCAGCGGCTTCTGGAATCGCGCGGCGAGTTGAAGCATGTGGTGGATATAATCATCCACCTCTTCGCAGGCCTGTTGCTCTCGTTGTAATAGCTCCTGCATCACATCGTGATCCGTCTGGTAGCCCCGGAAC